TCAAAGAATTTACAAGTTTAGCGAAGTCTCTTTATCCCTGCTAGAGTAAAGCAGTTGACCTTTGATCAAACGAACGCAAGGCCTAAGTCAAGAATCCTAAATCCATCAAAATTAGAAACTGTACTATAAGAAACTCTCGTATTCCTCTCTTTCCAATGACCCAAAAGGTGGCTAAAGGAGTAAGCTTGACAAACTGCTTATCGTTCTGAATGCTTTTCCAAGTCTAGATCTCCTCTCTCTTTGCCTACCATGCCCTGCTCAACCCCAAAAAGGAAACTAGGGTAGACATGACAGCATAAATTTGTTTACTTGTTGTTTTGACGTTATGTTTAAAGTATACAGCCCTTGTTGCTATTACTCGCAGATCTTGACTGGACATAGAAATGAAGTATGGTTTGTTCAATTTTCCAACAATGGGAAGTACTTAGCGTCGTCATCAAGTGATTGCACAGCCATCATATGGAAGGTATTATAAATGTTACTCTATGGCTTCTTCCATTGTAACCTGTAGATAAAGTTTCTTTATGTTACTTAAGCAATTGATATCTGATCATTAAAGGATAGGTATGTGCTCTGAACATAACATTTTGAGAAATGGCTTGTGAAGTGTCAGATTGTGAGTTTGAATGCTGTCTTTTTGAGGTTGTGTTCCTCTCAGAATCAATAAACTAAAAATGAAACTGTGAGGAAAAATTACAGAACCACATGAAATTAGGTGTTTAATCATATTAATGCTTATTTGAGGTTTACAATCATAAAAGGGTTTTCGCTATCAAAATTTCCTTTTCACAGTATGTCATTGACAAAGTAGTATACAGGTTCCCTACAGAACCCAAGATTCACTTTGAGGACTTGGATGAAGTTCTGAGCAATAAGTGAATTAGAAAGAAAAGTTGTGAAACATGAGAGAGAAGTATCACTTGCCAAAATGAATTCATTCATTGATCTGAAGTCTGAAAATTACTTTCGTCAGCATAGTTCTTTTTAGTGATCTGTCATCTGTAGTCCAAGCCCCTTTTGAATTTGCTGTAGGTTCTAGGCTCATATAAAGTAAAATGAAAAGGTTTTAAGTGAAATTTTTTCATTGAATTCTTTTTAAAAAATTCAAAAGCAGTTGAACATTCTGGACTTGAGTTTAAACTGGGGCTAATTATGCCACTATTGTATTTGGAGAATAGTTATGCTATAAGATCTAAAGGAAACACATCCAAATTGATGATCCAAGGCTGCTCAATTTACTCTGGAGTCTAGCATGTATTTATATTCATTATCATGTACGAGCATTAAATTTATGATATATTTGTAGGTTTGATGCAGTTAACTATTTTGTTACTTGCCATATATAGAACATTCTTGTCCATTGTTAATTGGATTGTAGAAAATGCATTTTGTATCATTGCACAGACAATTCTGCCCACCGAAATAGAAAAGAAGCTTAATAGGTACAGGTGTAGAGCTTGCCACCATTCTATATGATTCTCTAAGCGGCTAGGACAGATGCCATCATCTAAATTCTATTTAATATAGGAAAGCACGTGTAGTTTCTATTTTCTAAAGATTTTGCTTGTTCTTTTCAGAGAAGAAAGTTGCTCCAAATAAGCCAAAAGTGAATATTGGGATTTGGTATTCTACATAAATTGATCAAAGATCTTTAATTCCTGTTGCCAGATTTGTCTGATTTTCTCTAGACATCCACTGGTGAGAATTAATGCACTTGAAAGACGTTTACTCAAACGATAGGCAAATAGTTTCCGGTATTCCCGTCCCTTGTATAAATGGAAGTGAATTGCTTATTGAAATTAAGGCCAGAAGTAGACCTTGCCAATTGGCATTTGTTATTATGTATTTAATGTTATTTTCACTGACTTTATCGTTGACAAGCGCGATTCATTCAGTTTATGAATTTTCCGTAGACTAATTCATTGGTTCGATTGGACAGATACTCGTCCTGTCTACTTTATTACTGGATCTATGCTCAGAATGAATGATACGATGCATGAGCAAATAGCTAAAAGAAACAGGTTTAGCATTAAATTAAGGTTTAGGGTTAACCTAGTAATTAGCAAATTTGTTGCTGGATTTTCAGTATAGGTCAGTAGTCTTTTTAATTTCACTGGCGGAACAAGTTGGATCTGTTTTAGAAAGTGTGAGGTTGCTTATTTGTTACTTATTAGTTTTATGCACCTTGCTCTAACCTTTGCTGTTGGTAACAATAAAAGCAAGATGCTTATAGTTTGTTAAAAGTAACTCCTAAAAACATAGAAAAGATGTTGATGTATGACAAATTAGAGTTAAATTGCTTACATAGGGATTTAATGATAAAAACTTATTACAAATAGTGCTTCTTAGATATCACATTAAGGAAATCTTAAACACTTAAAAGTTTGATTCAGAAAATTGAGAAACTCTTGAAGTATTTTATTAAATAACTTGAAGTCTCCCCGACAAACTGTTTATAAATATATCTATAATGCTTAAGTAACATTTACTTGATAGGACTAAATTTAAAAATATTAATATTAAATAGAACTAGGAAACAATACAGCTAATAAAGAGGAAAAGTGGATACTAATAACAATGAAATCTTAAAGTTACTAAAATTTATAACAATAGACTCCTAATTTTTGTAACATTTTATCTTGAATGTTAATGCTCCACCCAAAGTTACTTTCTTTGTGTGGGAAGCAGGTCGAGGGTGTTTTCTTACTCTTAATAAGCTGATTAAGAGGGGGGGAAATATTGATGAATGGATGTTTTTTTATATAAAAGGGTGGCATAGTTATGTAATTACATCACTGATGACTGTGATCTAGGATGGTGGTAGGTAGATTGGCTTAGAGTTTGCAGTTTTCGAATTTCTTTGTGACTTTATGTGCTTTTTTTAGATGAGTTCGAGATTGTTTAGGTGTAAGGTTACAAATTTTGAACTTAAGGTTCTTTTAGTTTTGATACTAATTAATAGAATAAACATTAGGATTAATTTATCTGCTTCAGAATTTCAAGATAAAAATCTAGACACCACATCTAATGTTTCTTAGACTTCAAATCCAGTTAGTCTTAAGCGTCACATTTAAGGATCTGATTGTATTATGCAATTAAAGAATGAGAAACTGAAGGTATTTTACTGAATAGTTGAAGCTTTTCCAAAAAAGTGAAATTACAAAGATATTTGTAATGCTTACTCAGTACCATTGGTAAATAGGATTAAATTAAAAAATACTAATATTTACAAATTAGAAATAATGCTACTAATACAAATAAGACATTGAATACCAATTAGAATAAAATCCTAAATTACTAAAATTATAATAATAAACTCCTAAATAGTATAGTAGTTTTATATTTTATAAAAATAATTTTTAATCTATTTATGCTTTAGAGTTAATCCATTATGCATTAGAAGCATTATATTCCTAACATTTTAGGTTTTTATTTATTTTTTTGTTTAGTAAATTTATTTAACTATCCTTTTCATATTCTCTTAAAATAAAAAGCGTATACAATAGCACAAGTTAGAAGATACTTCTAATAGCAGTACTTTTTATCTATTTTTTACAAAAAAAAAAAAAAAACTTTTTATTCTTTTCAAATAAGCACATTTATCTAATTGCGTGATTGCTTATTTTTAAAAGAGGGATTTACCCTGCTTTAAGTAACTTAAAAGCATCATACTGATTTAAGCATATTTCTTTCAATAATCTTAAACACCCTGTTATTATTAATTTGGATAAGCACTTGTTTTAATTTCTAATTAGGATTGTCTTAGAGTTTTCTACTAGTTTCTTACTCAAGTTGGGAATAGTGTTAGTAGATGTTATAAAAATATCTTGTTTTTGCTTCAAGAAACACGTCATATTAATACAAACAAAAGAGTCAAGAGACTTTCTCTGTAATTTCTAGGAAATCTAGAATTTTAAAATCCAGCAAAGTTTGATTTTCGAGCTTAAAGTCTATCCCCCTGATTACCCTCTTTTTCTCTCTACATTAATTTGTTTGACTCAGCCATTCCATTTTTATAAATTCCTGTGCTAGGTGCTGGAGGATGGTAAGCTTATCTTGAAACACACACTTGGAAGCCACCAAAACCCTGTATCTTTTGTGGCATGGAGCCCAGATGATACTAAGTTGCTCACTTGTGGAAATATGGAAGTCCTAAAGCTCTGGGATGTGGAAACAGGTTCATGCAAGCACACATTTGGGGACCAAGGCTTTACTGTCAGTTCATGTGCTTGGTTCCCCGACTCCAAGCAACTTGTCTGTGGCAGTTCTGATCCTGAAAAGGGCATCTTCATGTGGGACTGTGATGGGAAAGAGATCAAATCTTGGAAAGGCACAAGGATGCCTAAGGTGTTGGATCTAGCTGTGACACCTGACGGGGAAAACCTTATCAGTGTATTAAGTGAGAAAGAAATTCTGATATTAAATATGGGGACAAATGCCGAGCGAGTCATCTTAGAGAAGCATCCAATCACATCACTTACAGTTTCCAGAGATAGTAAGTTCTTTTTGGTCAACCTAAATAGTCAAGAAATCCATTTGTGGGATGTTGCTGGAAAATTGGAAAAGCCATTCAAATATACGGGTCACAAGCAAAACAAATATGTGATACGTTCATGCTTTGGTGGGCTGTATGGTTCATTTATTGCCAGCGGTAGTGAGAATTCACAGGTATGCTTCTTTTCCAAGGGCCCATCAGTAAGCATCTTCAGTTTTTTATTGGTTCAGAATCCACCTACATTTTTTATTTCTTAGTATTTTATCTCTCTGGTTTATTTAAAAAAAAATATTTTCCCTCTGTGGTTTCTTTTTCATTCTAAAAAAAGGTTTTGCAACTTTTTTTTTTAAATGAAGAGATGGCATTTTTAGGTGGGATATAATAGTAGTGCTGACTATCTTCGTGTATGACAGAACAAGATGAAATTGTCAAGTGGTGTATTTGGTAATTCAAAATATAAAACTAGAAAGTTTCCTTGCAGATAAATCTTTGTCTCAATTAAAATCACGAGACAAAAAAATTGTCCAAAGTACAACTACTATCTTTTCAAGATATTCTGAATGACTTGACTCAAAGCATAGCACAATCCTAGTCTAGGTATGACCAGACCTGACAGTGGGCTTGGGACATTGTCCTGGGTGAAGGCACAACTTGTCCTAAATATAGTCCTAAGTACAACTTCATTGGGACATAGTCCCAAGCTCAGCCTGCTGTCTTAATGTTAGGAATGGCATAATCTAACTTGCGTCACAATCCTGGATTTGGATGGGATGTAGCTTGAATTCCATCTAGCTCAAGGCTTGGCTCAAATTGGGCAACAGTTTTGTTCTAGAGCATGACTATGGGATTAGTCTTAGACCTAGGTGCCAACTCGGTTTAAGTAGAGTCTAGAACTCCATCTAGTGCAGCATGCCGTCTCAGAGTTGAGAATGACGTAACCTAACTCATGTCACAATCCTGGACTTAGGCAGAATCTAGCTTGAACTCCATCTAGCTCAAGGCCCAAACCAAATTGTGTAATCATCTTGTTCCCAAGCACGACTCACGTGGATTAGTCATAGAGCTAGGTACCAACTCGGCTTAAGCAGAGTCTAGAAGTTGACTCAGGATCAATCTAGATCAAGCATGACCCAACAAGGAGATCGAGAATAGACACGCACTGGAAATGGGTAATGGGTTACAATCATTAATTCACTCTGAGCACAGTCACAGGCCAAACCAAGCACAATATTACAAAGTAATAAGTATTGTACTAGGTAGCATCTCATTTTCCCGACCAAAACGGTACATACCGTTATTGCTGTGAATTTTGATAAGTTTCTTGGATTTATTGCTAAATTATATTTTTTATTTAAAATTTTGTATAAGCATATAATAATAATAAATTTGTAAAAAAGAAATAAAAGAATTAAATAACTTGATAATTTATATTAAATATAACATATTTTCTAAAATAAATCATTTATACCTAAATATTTAGTTCACAATACATTACATAAGTAAAAAAAATTGAAGTGCAAAATACAAGAATATTAACTAAAATAACTATAAATATATTTAACTAAATATTTGCATTAAGATTTCTTAAGATTATTTGCATTAATTTTTCTTACATAAAAATGAATCATAAGTTTAATTATAAGTAAACTTTTTGAATTTTTAGTTCATACTAGTCGGTACTGGTTTTGGAGGTATTGATTAGTATTTAACTTGGTATAAAATTCTTGTTGGCCCATATCAATATTGGACTGGTACAGTACGGTATTGACTACACCAGGACAACTTTTCTTTACTAAGACATGGTCCAAAACAGCTCAAATAGAGCATAGTCTTGAACATAAGGTTGACATGATTTCAGATTCAGATTACTACCTGTCATCGTGCCTCTTACTGGACTTGGCTCAGAACATAATTCCAATATGGGCATGGTCCTGGAGCTAGCTTGTCGAGCAAGCGTGAAACAACGTGAGTAATAGTATCAGACATGGTTATGTAGGAGAAGTAATGTCGAAATTTTTGTCCTATGGATAATTTAGAAATAATGAGAATTTAGGTGAGAAACAGGATAATAGAGGTGGGTGATAAGAAATTTGAGATCAAGGTGAAGAAACAAAGAGAGATACAGATAAAACGAGATAGGTATTGACAAAAAATAATTAGAAGACTAATGCAGAAAGATATTAAAGAATGAAATTCTACCAAAAAAAATGTTAATTCATCATGGCCTAGCATGTTATTCTCAAATAGTTACCAGCCTTTATATTAGCATTAACTACAGCTGAAAAAATATTAAGACGATAATAGGATGTAAAATTTTTCGATTACTTAAAATCGACTTAGATAGGCTAAGTAAATTGAAGATATTTTAGAATAATAATAGTTACAGAAAAACTTTGTTAATACTACAGTTATTCCGAACTAAGATTTTCTTATTCTGTGTCACTCAGGCTAGGCATGGCTTGGCCTGAAATATAGTTGTGACCATGAAGTGGGAAGCTAGCACAGGACACACTCCTGAACCCAGCCCCGGGAACTTTTTGTTCAAAACAATGCCTTAATTCTCTCACGTTATAGATGTTTGAATAACCACAATCTCATTTGGTATTGATTATTGTAGCGGTTGAAACCTTAAAAACTAGATAATGTCTTTGCAGATCTACATATGGAATCGCAGGAATTCTACGCCAATTGAGGTTTTACGTGGTCATTCAATGACTGTGAACTGTGTGAGTTGGAATCCCAAAAGACATCAAATGTTGGCTTCAGCCAGCGATGATCACACAATCCGTATTTGGGGACCCAGCAAATCCAGTAAAATATAGCATGAAATATGAAAAGCAGAACAGTTTTCTTTTTGCTCTTTTTTCGGCAGAAGAAAACAGACAAAAATTTGAAGCTCTGTATATATTGTTTCTGTCCTTCTCTACTTGTTATTTATTTGAAAAACAATTTGCAAATTAGTGGCTCTTGCTAGTTTTTGCCACATTCCAATTTTGGCAGAAGCTCTTTTTCTGTATGTTATAAATTTTGAGATGCTTTGCTGTGGTAGCTGTTTAGATGCAATTTAGTTGGACAATGTACATTTCTTGACTTGGAGCTTGGGAGAGACAGTCATGTATTGTTAAGTGGAAAGAAATTTGATTCTTTATTTTTGTATCAGACTACTTTTTTTTTTCAGAGCTCGGAATAAAGGGACACATTCCCGGCCATTTGAATGTAATTGAGGTGGAGACGCCGAGAGAGGTTGTCATACTATTCTTGGAGAGTTTGATGAGGCGAACTCCTCACTTTCTACTATGAAAATTCTCTCCTTATGTTGTTCATGCATTTTTCATATTCGTTGTGGTCATTGTCGGTGTTCTAATTGATAAAAGTGAAATAGATGAGATGTTGGCTGTATTGACTAGGCCGAGCAAAAAGTAAAGATGGTTTCATAATATCATTGCCAAGGCTCATGGGGGTGTATCCGTATTTGGCGGAGTAGGTGAACGAACTTGTGAAGGAAATGATTTTTACATGTTAATTAAAGAATTTGGAGTCATTACTGAATAAAATTTTACCAAATCAAAAGTGGCTTTAATATACGGTCAAATGAATGAAATGTCGGGAGCTCGGATGAGAGTTGTTTTGATTGTCCTAATTATGGTTTAATATGTTCGAGATGTTAATGAGTAAAATATAAACGGTTTAAGTTAGTAAAAATAATAATAATGTATAAAATATTTATTAAATTATATTCTAAATTTTGTTTCTATCATTTCATTAAATTTTTATGAAATTAATTATTATAAAATTTTCATATAATTAAGTATAAATTAAAACAAAATTTCAAAAATTCTTCAATTGATTTTAGATGTGGTTCAGCTTGTTTCTTTGAATTATTTAATGTGTCATACTTTAAGTGGATTTGATAAAACTTTTATGAACTCAATTTTCATAAAATTCTCATAGGATTTATTATTTTTAATCAAGTTAAATGCAAATTAAAATAAAATTTGCAAAATTTCTTAGTTGATTTCAATTTTATTTAATACCTTGAGATATATATACATATATATATATAATTTACAGAGGAAAAATATTGAAGAATTATCTCATAATAATCTATTTACATATTAAAATGATACCTTTCTTTCTTCATAATCCAAAGGCATCTGTGTATTCTTTTGTTTTGTTTTGTTTTGTCCGAAAAAGGGTTCTTCTGGTAATAACCAATAACTACTACTAACATTCTCCTTACTCAGCTTTAAAACTTGGACCTCTCCAACGCAACCCCATAAGTTAATTTGGTTACTCACTCATAAATTAACGCCCTCTCCTTTTAGGTTTCCTCGCCATTACCAAGCTCCTATCCTACCCAACCCAAAACACATACAGGTATTTTTCACGGAGAGAGAGAGAGAGAGAGAGAGAGAGAGAGAGAGAGAGAGAGAGAGAGAGAGAGAGAGAGAGAGAGAGAGAGAGACAGACAGAGACGCTCTATTCATTCTTCTTCTCTTCCCGTCGAGATCGAGATCGAGGAACATCGCGATCGAGATCGAGTTTGAGATTGAGATCGAGAGAGACGCCTCTGTATTTCCAAATCACTGAATTAGGGTTTCTGCTGATGCCCTCTGCTTGAATTCTCTATTTGCCTTATGGTGATGTCGCCATTGTTATGAATTTCGATTCTGGAGATGACAGGACACTCCTGGCCGCACGATCAATCCTCGCTCCGATCTGCACCTTATGATTATAACCTTCGCAGGTCATTGCCTGTTAATCCTCATCAATCAATTCTCTATTAAAACCTAATAAGATTGGGAAGATTTAAATTGCGTTATCTCCAATCTTTTATTGCTGCTATACCTTTGTGTCGCGAGATGTGGAATCATTTCATCCCTTTCTTAGATTTGAAATTGCGAATAAATTAAGATAGTTTTCCCTCTTGCTAATCCAGAGAACTACGAGTATCTGATGATTGATAACTTTATGGTGTTGATCTATTTTGGTCGTTGGTCAATGTGAATTTTCGCCACAGCTTTTTGTCATGAAAATGGTTGTGCTCTAGATATTTATCAAAGTATTTGCTTGAATTGCATGGATGTTATTGGAACCTAGGTTTTAGGTTTTCCATGCTTATAAGAACCATCACCCTGTGTTACTTGTACATCTTTACTTCACCTGAGAGTGAATGTGTTTTTGAACTTGTGATATTGTTGTACACTTCAAATTCAATGTTCACTAGCCTTTCGACAGAGGTATCGATGTGTCTGATCTTGTTAGAATTTCCTCGATGTTAACTCTAAAACTTACATTACCAGATTCGTAAAATTCTCTTTGGCTTTGTGTACATTCTGTGGATGCTTGGATTTTTTTTGGATGAGCAGACATGGTCCGTGTTGTTGTTTTAGGTTTGATGATATTCTTGATTCAATGGTACTCCTGCTGAATCGTTGTTATGTTCCAGTGGCAGAAATGTTTTTCGATTGTTGGCACAGAGGGAGATTTCTCCGAAAACAAAATATATGCCAAAAAGAAAGTGGGGAGAAGCTTCAAAACGGGATCCAAGTTTCCTCATCTAGGCCCAACAGTGAACCAGTGAGAGATGCAAAAAGCGGTCTTATTTCATGGTACTTATGCATTTATTATCAGTTGTTCGTTCTTTCACCTGTTCTTCTCCCTTGTTGAAAGGTGATCCAGTCTGGATGTCAGGGCAAAATTTATGTCGCACAAAATGTCCAGCATTTTTTTCTTTTCCTCTTTTGCAGGGTTGAGGCGGGGTCTTTACGGCATTTATCTGCAAAATATTGTCCCCTGGTTCCTCCTCCTAGGTCAACCATCGCAGCAGCTTTTAGTCCTGATGGAAGAAGTATTGCTTCTACACAGTGAGTTGTCATTAATGTTTACTGATGTTCCTTCTTTATATCTTTGTTCCTTCTAATTTCAATCTGTTGTCTCCTGTAGTGGTGATCATACTGTTAAGATAATCGATTGCCAAACTGGAAACTGCTTAAAAGTTTTGAGTGGTCATCGGAGGACACCCTGGGTGGTAAGTTAGTTGGCTTCTCCTTTCACGTCAAGATATTGAGTGTCGAATATGAGGAATGAAATTTTTTTTGGAATATCTCATAGACAACATGGATTCTTTTAGTTGGTAATTGTTGAGTAGGATAATTTATTATTTAAGTATTTTAATTATTAGTTGCTATTATATAATTAGAATTTTATTAGAATAGTAATCTTATGTAATTAGAATTCTAGTAGAATAAGAATTTTCCTATTAGTAGAATAGGTGTTCTATAAATACGCAGGTGTAACAACCTAAAAGGTGAGAAATAAAATTATATTTTTTCTTCAAAATTAACATGGTATCAGAACAGAGTAAGGGTATTTTGAGATTTTATTTTTAGGGTTTTAAAGAAACCCTAAAACAACAAAAGGAAGTAGAGGAGAAAGAGAGCCAGATCAGGGGGAAGAGGGGGAAGAGAGGAAAGATCAGAGGAAGGGAGAAGGCAGCCGGATCCTTCCTCCACCGCGCGCATAGCTGCACAAAGGGCGAGTTGGTTTCTTCCTCCACCACATGTAGAGCCGCGCGACCCAGCTCCTTCCACCGCGTGCGGAGTTTCTTCTTCTTTAGCCGCGCGCAGAGACACGCAACCTAGTTCCCTTCTTCAGCCGCACGCAGAGCCGCGCAAGGCACTGAGGTTTCCTTCTTCTTCAGCCGTGTGCAGAAATGCGCGACCCAGTTCCCTCTTCAACCACGCGCAGAGCCGCGCAGGGCAACGCGGTTTCCTTCTTCTTCAGCCGCACACAGAGCCGCGCGACAACCTTTGGTTTCTTCTTCCTTTGTGCGCAGAGACGCGCGATCTGCCTCACTCCGATTGTACAAAGCCTCTGGTCGCAACTTACCAGCCTTCTATCGGGCACAAGTTTTTCCCTTTGTTGCACGCAGAGCTGTGCACGGGAAGTTTTTCTAGCCAGTTGCATTGAGCCAATTTGAGCCATTGAGCCGAGCTGATTTTAGCCGAGCCGCCTGCACCAAGCCGAGCCATTTTTTTCGAGTCAAGCCGTTTTTTGAGCCAAGGCAGACAGATCTGATTTCAGTATTTTTTGTCTTTTTTGGCTATTTTGGTACAAATTACAGATTTGAGTATTTTTTTTCTTATTTTAGTACTCTAAAATGACAGAAGCAAAAAAAATTATGGTTTCTTATTAAGATAACCCTCATTGCAAATCAGTTCCGTAAAACTTGATAGAACTAATTATCTTGCTTGATCAAGATCTTGTTTATTGTTTATCAAGGTTAGAGGATTGTAGCGGTACATTATAGGTAATATGAAGAAACCAAAAGTAGGTGATTTGGAATATAACAGATGGAACTCTGAAATTTTTTTAGTAATGTCTTGGCTAATTAATTCTATGTAACCATATATTGCACGAACATATTTATTACTCGATATTGTAGCAAAAATATAGAAAATGACATCCCTTACATATTTACAAGTGGGTAATGATACCCAAGTTTATGAACTCCGCAATAAAATTCATGGCACTAAGAAAGGGAAAATGAATATTTCTTAATATTTTTCTGAACTGAGTGGATTATGATATAAATTAGATTATTATCAAGATTTTCAAGTAGATTGTCCTGCAGATACAGTAAAATTTCAGAAATTGATAAAAAATAGCAAATTTATGACTTTTTAGCTGGTTTGAACACTGAATATGATTAAATTCGGATTTAGGTGCTTGATAAAGATCATTTTCCTTCATTTGAACAAATTTATGCTTATGTCCAATAAGAAAAAAAGTAGAAGGAATGTCATGCTTTACATAGCACCAGTTGAGAAAACTCGATTAATTGCTCAGTCTGAACAATCTAAGAATCTACGGAGGTGTGACTATTGTGGCAAGCCAAAACACACAAGAGAGATTTGCCGGAAGTTGTATGGAAAGCCAACTAGAGGTAGCGAGAGAAAGAATGGTGGACCTACGAAAACTCAAGAAAATTTAGTTGAAAAAAGAGAAACACTCGACACACAAACAGTTAAAGCTTTTTCGAATGAGGAGATTTAAGCCCTGAAGCATATTCTGTTTCAATTTAATTCTTCATCAACTATAGGTACAATAAATTTAATAAAATCAAAATTTTCAAATAAGGAAAAAGATTGGCACTGGTAAATTGTAGGATGACTCAGAACCTGATCTGCAAGTTGAGCATGAGAGATATCCCTACACTAACTTAAGGGGGCGTGTTGAGTAGTATAATTTATTATTTAAGTATTTTAGTTATTAGTTAGTATTATGTAATTAAATTTTATTAGAATAATAATTTTATGTAATTAAGATTTTAGTAGAATAAGAATTTTTCTATTAATAGAATATGTATTCTATAAAATATTTAGGTATAACAATTTAAAGGGTGAGAAATAAAATTATATTTTTTCTCCAAAATAAACAGTAATAAATATTGGAGATAAACCCCATGTTTTAACAGTATCATTTTCATTTTAACCCCCAGGGACCAAAATTTAGGTTAGGTAGGGATGCCGATAGTGGTAGTCTTAGTTTGTTTACTTTCTCAGTTTTTTACTGTCTCCATGAAGAGGTTTCAGCCAAAAGTGAATTCACTATTTAACATTATATGAGTTGTTGTCATTCTAAAAAGATATTTTAGTTAGCTTTTCCAGAAAAATTATTAATTGAGTGTTTACAGGTTAGATTCCACCCATTGCATCCAGAAATACTTGCAAGTGGGAGCTTGGATCATGAAGTTCGCTTGTGGGATTCAAAAACAGCAGAGTGTATTGGATCCCGTGATTTTTGTAATTCCCTTCTTTTAAAAAAATTTGATTATACTTAAACATTTTCAGTATAAACATCTGTTTCATTTTTATAATTTTTATTTTTAAACTTAAAGCTTAAGTTGTGGCCCTCAATTGGTGAATCTGACTTCTAAACTTTTCTTTTATAGATCGTCCTATTGCCTCCATTGCCTTCCATGCTGAGGGGGAACTCCTTGCAGTTGCATCAGGTCACAAGGTGTTAAATCTCTCCTTTGCATTTCCATTGCTTATGTAGCTGGTGGTCTACCCTATACTGCCTAAACCCCAACTGCACTCATTTAGCTGTATTTTATAATGTATCATATTGTGTTTCAGTTGTACATATGGCACTACAACAAGAGAGGAGAAGGTTCTTCACCAACCATTGTTTTGAAGACAAGGCGCTCTCTTAGAGCTGTACATTTTCATCCGCATGCTGCTCCATTTCTCTTGACTGCTGAGGTGAATTATCCTATGGGAATTTGAATGATTATCCACTTGTAATGTCATCTAGATTACATTATTGACTGACAATATGCAGGTCAATGATCTTGACTCTTCAGATTCTGCAATGACATGGGCAACATCTCCGGGTTACTTGCGATATCCTCCGCCAGCTGTTTTTGTTGCAAATGTACAACCTAGTGATTCTGCTCGTATGGCTTCTGAGCTTCCCTTCATGTCCATACCTTTGTTATTCATGCCTCCATTTTCAATAGATGATACAAGAATGGATTTGCAGTATGCTCATGGCCATACCAGTTCAAGTGGCCTGCGAGTGGGTTCTTCTGCCTCAATGCAGTCCCAAACAGATTTAAGTGCAGCAGAACAGCAAAACGATAC